GGTCTTGTTGGTGCTCGTGGTACTGGTTTGCCATCCCCTGTGTAATGTATTCGCAAGTGACCAATCAGGCCCATGCGTGATTTGTGTGCGGAATGGCAGTGGGGGTGGGGGCGGGATAGGTTTGGGACTGCAGACTCCGTTGAGGTGGTGAGGCGATTTGTGGTGATCACACTGGTGGATGGGGAGTTGTTAGCGCTGGAGATGCTAGAGTTTTCTGATAGGCATCGTGGTCCAACTATCGGGCCATTAAGTGTAGTGGGCGATGAAGGCTGATTGGGGACGGCACAGAAGCCAAAATGACTTTTCAGACTGATCTTGCTTCTTTCGGTAAGGCCGCTTAAAAAGTCAGTGCTGGCTGCTATGCAACCACCAGTTGGATCTTCAAACTGAAATGGAAGGGTAGGCACACAGGCTGGGAGCAAAAATCAGGCGCCGGATGATGTAGCCGAAGGGTTCCCTGCCACGGCAGGAAACAGCTATAGTCGGCTACCGGATCTGGTACGGTTGTTAAAAAAGCAACTACGTCGGAGAAATCGGGAGATTACTGTGGAGGCGAAAAGCCGAGCACTTAGTAGACATGCAAAGAAAAAATGTGAGCTCCCTGCCATTTTTTTCGAATTTAAAGAGACTAAAATCCTCGTAAGAAGTAAGAAAAACCGCGTGAGACGCAAGCTGCTCAACTCATCGTTCTCAGACCCACAATCAATCAACAGGCGCGATAACTTGCCGATACCATACTCAGACCTGAGATTTTGTTTAAGCAGGAGGGGAGGGCCTGGACCAGCAACCATCTCGCTAACAGTAAGCCTAATTGTCGCGTAATTATCAAGCCAACAACCAACATGGATGATGAAATCGCGGCCAGTACTGATGCGGAGGCGGGCTGCCAAGCCATCATCGCTTCAATCATGACCCCAAGCGAGGATCACGGTGTTATACCGGTGACTTCAGTGGTGTCACGGTCTAATTACTCCCTGTGGAATCCCCAAGGGGTTGCACAATAAGAAGGACATAACTTTGGAGTACACCCGGAGGAGGGTTTATTGTGCACAAAACCCGGAGTTGCTTTCTCGGGTGGTTAGTGCCACTGGTTGATTTCCAGCGCGCTCTTTGTCCCGTCTCGGGGCAAGCCCGGCCATCGGGAGCAGATTGGCGGTTTCCTCGCACAACCATGTTGCAATTCACTGTCCGAGATGTGTCAGTGGCTTGTAAGAGATTGCCAAGCGCGTTCGCTTTTGGCATCATTGACTGCCTTAGGATAAGGTTACGCCTCCAGTTGGCCCTTGAGGGATCACGACCATTTGGGCACACGCCTTCACGCGCGTGCTTGTGTCCGGTGCGGCCTTTAAGGTCATCGCGTGAAGGCGGCCAGAGCAAAGCCGAAAAGACATTGTGGCAGGCATGAGGTCTCAGGAGAGCCTGCAATGTTGCTG